CTGCACTTCTTTCACATCAATATGTGTTACCAGTTATGACCACTTATATTGTCATTGTATTGGACACCAATAGATAAGACATATCTTATTAAGACATATACTCTCTTATAAGTTATTAATGGATAGCCTCTCCACTCTAACTCTACTTTAATCAATATTTTTCGACACAAATATTGTTCACAAGTTTTAGCGTTTAATTGCTTTCCGTTTGTAAGTCCGAGAGGTTTAGTCTCTCCTCTTATGATGAAGTAGTCATCCATTTGTGGGTCACTTCAATGCAAGCCTTTTATCCCAATAATCATGTCTTCCCATTGCACTCGTATAACGCCATTCAATAGTCTTGTCTTCAGTACCAGTCGATGCAAATGTTTGGTCCAATCCTCAAGCAAATCCATCTTTGATTTTCTCATTCATCCAAACCGTGATCTCAATGGAAATCATTTTTTGCTGACTTTATCATTCAAAGGTGTTTTTCCCATCCGATTCAAAATCGGATAATTGTCTCATTTTACTCAACTAAAGTGATTTAATTGGACTATAAATTGTTGTCTCATTCATTGAGTTCAGTCTTCATATTGTGCTCAGCTTTGTCTGAATATGACTATTAATCAGATTGAGATGTCGGCGCCAATTAGTAATAGTAATATAAGTACCCCTCCATCGGCCGTAAGTCTCATACAAACAACTAAAAAGTCAAATACTTTGCGACCCATAAAGAAGACATACCTTTGGTGGTAAGCATTCATTCACTTATATTGTGTTTGTGTTTGAATTATAATTATTTAATAATTACACCATTTGTGACTCGATACATTTACATGTACTGTATATTGTCAAATAAACGATCTCTGATAATCAATATATGATATAATTGTTAAACTCTTTGAAGATTAATCTCATAAAAATATAATTATTTAGGATTAAGTTGCATTATATAATTTTAAAACTCTATAATCCTATGTTGCAAATATTCTGAAATTATTTGATATATTTTATATTTTATAACTGATTAGAAGGTATGTAATGATTACATATTGTACATGATTATAATACTGTTTGTTCACATCTCTTATCTATTAAATTATATAATGATAACTATTTTGTAATAATTGTTGATAAAGGATGGGAACCAACGATAAGGCAGATAATAAAAGGGATTAAAAATACTTAAAGGTATACCAATTGAAATGCAATATTTCATTCACATAAAAATTGCATACTTCACTATAGTATCGCTTCACATTTTCGTATTTTATATATCATTTATCATTTTGTTGTCAATAGAAAAAGTTTTTCAAATACTTGAAATGTTTATAAGTATCTGTGTATCGTATTGCAGTTCTCGTATTTAATAGTGATTTAGTAGTAGTTCAGTGTTTATTAATTGATTAGGATACAAGGTTTACTTAATATTACAACATAAGTGTTCAATAAATTTCTTTTTAATCAATTCTCCTGTTTGAAGATTCGCTAAAATGTAATCAAAAATAGCAATTTATAAAATACTTTTAAAATCTTTTTTATTTTTTCGGTCTGCAATAAGAGTGCCTGCATTTGAAAGCAATATTTTATAAATGTTTTCCTCATTTCAAATACAGTCAATACATAGCAATAAAGTGCGAAAATGAGGGTAGAATTGAAAATGTTGACTAACTTATCATTTTGTGATCAAGAATTGAATTAATAAATTGTATTTTAAACTCCTTGTGCTGACGCCAACCAAAAGCCAGAAACTAATATAACTTTTGATGTTATAAAATGTTTCACAATTTGCTTCCCAAATATAAATACAATACAAGACATGCCATCAAAGTGTTGTCACATTTATGTGTTCCCCGCTTGTAATCCTTTGTATATATATTAACAAATAAATCCTTTTCTCAGTCAAATGGTTAATAATTAATTGTTTTTATTATATTTGTTCATAACATGAGAGATGAGCACATATTTTGTTGGCTGAAAGTTCTCCAATTGTGTCAAATCATCACATTTTGGGCCACTTATGAGAAGTGAATTCAATATTTATTTTATATAAAAGTTTTTTATTTTCATTCGTGAATAGAAGAGATCTTAAGGAAACCTGAATTCAATTGAAGTGAATGTTTTGGTGATAAAAAACTTCAATTCATTTGAAGATTGTATTATAAGTTGTATTTTCTACGGGAAAAAAGATTGACATTTGTTATTAAAAAAAACATTTTTTTGAAACTTATTTTACTTTCATTCGGGAGTTTTGAAGAAATATATTTGCTTTGATTATGGATTCATCGAAATTACAAAAACAACTCTTAAGAGAGACTTTAAGCAAAGAGTCAGCGATTTTTATAATGGTTGACAACTCAAAGTTAGAGTCCTTTGAATCATTTGAATACTTGTTACTTATCGTAGTTATTAATGTATCGTTGTGTACGAGTGTCGTGAAATGTAATCAACTTGGTGCTTTTATGTGCAATAGGAACCCACCATGGTGGAACCGGAGGACAAGGATGGAGAGATCCCTCTGTGCCATCGCAGTCATAGCTCTAGTCATGTGTATTGCCATGACTTTTGCATTGGCTTTCATCGGATATCACTATCAAAACCAATTGGGTTTGTATTTAATGCTTTTAATTCATGGTTTGCATAATAACCGATAAAAATCGTTAAAATAAATACAGGCTCTTTTTTATATTATGTATAAATTATATACTATATAAATATATAAAAATATAAATATATTATATATTATGTTATGCAAACTTGCTAACATTTGCTCCCAAATGATCTTTAGTAATGATATGCAAAATAAATGATATTTTTGTCTTATCAAGCATACTTTCGTGCCGGACTTTTAAGAGCTTTTAACGTTTTTAATTTTAGTTTTATGTTGATCTAAAAATTAATTTAAATAAATTTAGAGTCGAATTTAGTTTGAATGTAATTTTATTTATAGTTTACAGAATTTATAAATAAAATCAATTAGATTTTTGTTTTCAATATAATTACATTAAAACTTGCGACAGAATAAAATAAATTTAATTAAAATTCAATTAGAATCTCACTGATAATTGATTGCTAAATAACTGACAATAAAAAGCATTTTCTCTTTTTGTTATTTTATTGCTTATAGTTTAATGATGTATAATAGATATCTATGTAGTAGCAATCCAAAATTGTTATTATTCATGAATTTAATCATATATTTTATTGTTGTTATATAAAAGTTGACAAATTCTTTGATATAATTTCTAATACGGATTAGCAATTATGCTACCTGAACTCAACTGGTAAATAATAGCATTATATATTTTTGTTTTAATGAGTTAAAGATTGATAATAACAATTTGTTACTGTGTAATTAATTAATTCTTCACTTAAACATTAGCCAATTATTAATTGACTATATTCAAATAGTAAATGCATTTTATTTGATGTATGCAATTTTGTTCATTTGAATGCAAAATAGGAATAATACCTTTTGTATTGATAATAAGATTGAGTTAAAGATTGAGTACTGAAAAACATTTTAAACAAATTTATTACTCAATAAAAAAGTGGTTAACATTATGAATGCAATTTTATGATTAGCAGATATTTTATGCAATATTCACAGTATGTATAATAATTTTGAACTGAGACATAATAATATTATGACTATATTTTGAAATATAAGTTTATTTTGTTTAATATTTTTATTTAATATTTTAATACGAGATCATAAATTTTTATTGAAAAAATATATTATTTACTAAAATTTCTTTTATTATAAATTTATTTTTATAACTTTATATATCATTTAAGACAAACAATTTAAAAGCTATATAATATTAACAATAAAATAGACAAATAACAAGTTAATTATAATTAATTAATTATTTTTTTTCTAAATTTAATGAGTTATTAATTTAAATATTAATATGTAAAAATGAGATTTAAAAATACTATTAATAAATTAAAATGAATACAAAAGTGAATTAATAATATTGATGAATTGAATGACAGAGTCGAGGGGTTCAGCAAATCTTCGGCCAACGGCTGAACAACTAGTCAAAGACAGTGAATCCCAACCCAACGCTATACAAACCACTCATAATAACGACGTGTGTCTAACACCTGGTTGTGTCAAAGCAGGTATAATATGATCACATTTGTCCACTTCATTTATACAGTATATCAATATTAATTACAAATGAATAAATAAATTGCATTGTATTGTTGAAATAGCGGCTGATTTAATAAAAAATATAAATGAAAAGGTCTCCCCGTGTGATGACTTCTATAAAGTGAGTGAATATTGTTGTTAAATGAGTGACAAAAATGACTAAAACACTGATATATAGTTCGCATGCGGGGGTTGGGTCGACAATCAAGTGATTCCTGACGACAAGACATCCGTTTCGGTATTTTCCTTACTTCAGGACGAACTCAATAACAAACTTAGAGGTAATTCATTGAGACATAGAGTACAGTATGTGTGATGACGTAAAATATATGAATATTAATATTTTGATTTATTTAAAACACAGTTTTGGTTGAAATGCCGGCCGAAGAAAAAGAGCCAAAATTTTTTGAGAAAATGAGGAATATGTATAAGTCGTGTATGAATTTAGGTAAATATAACCTCATGAGTAGAAAATAGCATAAAATTATTGAGATGAGAGGCACTCAACACTCGTAAACTCTGAAAACTTTATTTATTTATGATTTACTTGATTGCCAAACAGTTTAGGAAACAATTTATGACATTTGATTGTATGGAAACGAATTTATTTATAAAATTAATGATTTATTTTTGCCAATTAAGCTGACATTGAGAAGGTGGGCAATACGCCAATTCTCACTGTTTTGGAGGGTTTGGGCGATTGGCCCGTCTTAGTCGGTGGCAATTGGGATGAAAGCAAATTTGACTGGCTACAAATGCTCATTGAGTTCAGGAAATTGGGATTCAGTCACGATATTCTTATGGATCTATCCGTTACACCAGATTTCAGGAACAATACACAACATATTATCGATGTATTTATTACGAGATTCTTTGCAAATGCATATGAAATGAGCTAATTATATGTCTATTTGATGGCACCTACAGTTAGATCAGGCGTCGCTGGGAATGCCTGACAGAAGCTATTTGTTGCGGGGTTTGAATGACTCGGCAGTCGCCGGGTATTACAAGTTAATGGTCGAGAGCGCCGTTATGTTAGGCGCTAACAGATCAGCCGCTGAACACGAAATGCTCGAAACACTACAGTTTGAGACCATTTTGGCAAACGTTAGTTAATTATGCAAATCATCCAAACTTTACACTTCATTACGAGTTTGTGGTGAAATTATTCAAAACTAATGCCTTTTTGTTTTTAATGTTTCACTCATACAGTACTCACTGCCGCGTGAGGAGCGACGGAATATAAGCTTATTGTATAACAAAATGAATGTAACACAAGTGGCTCTATTAGCCCCTAAGGTATGGTTTATATCATATAAATTATATCACATCTCACTCTCGAGTACTTTAAAAAGTGAAAATCTATCAAAATATTAGTTATGCGTTTTGTTTTGCAAAAAATATTTTGTTAAATCGCTTTATTTTTAAAATTTTCCTGAACATCAAAAAATGTTTAGTTTTTATTTATTTTAAGCTTATTTCGTAAAAACTAAATCGTGTTTCACTCTGATGTGAATCTCTCTGTAATAAATCACAACATTCTTGATTCAAATCTTCAAATCATGTGTTTTAGAGTTAGTTTTATGAATAAAATTAAGTCTAAAGTTATGAACAAGATTTTAGAAAATTATTTTTATTTTTTATTTTTTATGAATATATAATGAGTTTCCTAATAAAATGTTTTACACGAAAAAATATTTATAAATGACATGTAATTACAGACCCATTGGAACAAATACTTCAACAACTTATTGAGTGATTCGGTCACCGATAAGGAAGAGATTATTGTAAACGTACCTAATTTTATACGAAATGTCGACACACTTATCGCACAAACAAACAAACGGTACAAAAACAATTAAAGGGGTTTTAAGTTGGTTTAAATTTGCTAAATATGTTTGAATGACCAGGACTTTGGCCAACTATATGCTATGGCGAGTGGTTTTGCAGTCTTTCGCGACATTAGGCAAGAAATGGCGTGAATTGGCTCAGGAGTACAATACGGTGATCACGGGTCAGGCCCGGGAAGAGCCGCGTTGGGAGCAATGCATGTCTTCACTGACCGGCAGCTTAGGTATCGCTCTCTCGTCCCTATATGTGAGACATAACTTCAAAGGCGACTCCAAACATGTGGTGACTATTTCATAAATGATTGATTGACTCAGTTTTGTGCCAATCTTTTTGATTTCGATGATTAATTAAACTTTTATTATTTATTAGGCTTTAGATATGGTTGAGTACATCCATCGCGAGTTCCTTAAGATATTAGATAGAGTGGAGTGGATGGACGACCAGACCCGACAAAAAGGTAGTTCACGTGACATTTGATTAATTGAATGATATTTATTTATAATAATACATTCTGTTGGGATCGGTAGCCAAAGATAAAGCTCATGCAATCACGCCATATATTGGATACCCTGATGAATTGTTAGATAATGAAAAAATTACCGAATTGTATAAACATGTAAATAAAATATTTAGTAATTAATTAAACAATTAAAAATTACATATAATTTGTATATTCAGTTGGAATTGTCTCCAAACGATTACTTTAAAAATGTACAAAACCTAAGGCGTTGGTCTACAGACTATGCTTTCAATCAGCTAAGAAAACCTAACCTAAAGGGAGAGTAAGTATTAAATGAAATGAATTTATTTGACAATTATTAATCATTTATATATCATTCTGTTGTTAAAGTTGGAGAAAACATGCAAGAGCTGCAGGTACGGCATATATTAAATAGTTAAAAATATGAGGTTAACTATTATCAAAACTAATAAATAATTTATTAAATATATTAACAAAGATTGTAAATTGTATTAAGTAATTACAGTCAAACTTAATTAACACAATTTAATAATTCTGTTTTTTAAACTAAGAAATATTGCAGTATTGTACAATTAAGGAAGGATCTCGACGCTTTTCTTACAAATATATTAATAAAATAGACAAATAATTTCATAAATGTAAGATAATAATACTGTAATATTTATTATTACTAAATTAATAATTTTTACCAATTAATTTATAATTTATTAAATTAACTTAACATTTAATTACAATATTTAATATAAAATAATTACTGTTTTAGTTGTGAACGCATATTATAATGCATTGGAGAATAGCATAGAATTTCCGGCTGGTATATTACAAGGCTCATTCTTCAGTAGAGATAAGCCCAAGTAAGTTTGTTAATTGACTTAATTAGCTAGTAAATATTTACTTGATATTTTATTTTATAGTTACCTAAATTTTGGTGGTATTGGGTTTGTGATCGGACACGAGGTATAATACATTGTATACTTTACAAAATAACAAATTGATTAATTGTATATTTAAAACTTTATAAAAAGATTACTCATGGATTTGATGACAGAGGTAAATAGCAACTTATTATTGAACTATATTTTGTATGTTAAGATTCTTAAATAATAATTTGTTTGTACGACTGGTTAGGCCGTCAGTTTGACAAAGACGGGAATAACAAGAATTGGTGGGACTCTAAGACTGACAGTAACTTCAAAGAGAGGGCCAATTGTTAGTAGATATTTCTCTATCATGTAAGACATAATCATAATAACTAATATTCATGTATTAATCAACAGGTATTATTGAACAGTACGGCAACTATACTGTACCCGAAAACTCGTTGCAGGTCTTTATTTCATACAATTTTACTTTTTTTTATAATTTTAGTTATGGTTTAAATATACGCTATTAATTTAATATTTTTAATAAAATAACGCTGATATTCATTAATGTTAATTTCAAATTAGTTTTTAAAGATAATTATAAAATATTATAAAATGTTTTTCTTTGTTATGCTTATAAAACAATAGTAAAAATGTAGAAAATATTCAAATTTTGCATCATTACGCTAAGGAAAACTTTATATTTTCTGAATTAAGGGATATATATTAAGACTATAAAACAATTCATATCTGAGTTAATGAACCTCTATATAATTATGCAAATTAAGTGAGAAAAACAATTTGCTTGCAAAATAAGTATACTAATGAGCAAAGTATTATAATTAATTTTAATAAAAATATAAAATTATATCATATTATTAAAATGAATTGAATTAATTGTATATTTCTATGAATAGATAAACGGAGTGAACACTCAGGGAGAAAATATCGCCGACAACGGAGGCATTAAAGAGGCTTTTAGAGTAAGAAATAAAATTTATTTATTTATAAATATTTAAACTATGATTTGAATATAAATTTAGCACAACTTTATTTATGAAATTTAAATCATTTTAAAGAAACCTTTAAATTTGAAAAAAGTATTTTTTAAATTTAATCATTCATTTCAATGACTTTAGGCATACCAGGAGTGGGTGAAGGATAACGGCGCCGAGAAACCACTGCCGGGTCTCAATTATACACCGCAACAACTGTTTTGGATCAGCGCCGCCAACGTCTGGTGCGGTAAATACAGACCCGAGGTATTGAAGCTGAGGGTTCAGGTGGGCTCACATAGCCCAGCACAATTCCGTGTGGTCGGACCGGTAAATAATTTGCATTTGGATCCGGTACAATTACAAGAATCTAATTGATAATTATCTTATAATTACAGGTCTCTAATCTGCCAGAGTTTGCACAGACGTTCAACTGCAAAGTGAATTCACCAATGAACCCAAAGCACAAATGCTCGGTGTGGTAATTACTAATCATTGGTTTAACATGATACCTACAGTGACACAAAACTATTAGTTATCAAGTAATTGTTACATAAATATAATTTAATTCAATTTAAAAGTCTATTAATAAGAATTCATTTAATATTTCTTTGAATCTCATGTAATGTACTGTAAAGTAATGTTGTGTTTTCATATATAATCTATAACTTGATTATAATGACAAGTGAAATGACAATTTGTATAAATGCAGTGAAAGTCACAAATATTATATCAAACAAAATTAGCACACTTTTGTTAATTAATTGAATCAATTATTGAAAGTATGGGTTAATTATAATAGTTATTTAAAAGATCTTAATATCTAGATTATGCTCTCATTTCCTCACTTATAATCCTTTTTATTATTACTTTTAGATAATTAGGAAATTTTGTGGATTAAAATTGATTCATTAATTAAAGTTAATAGAAATGACTTTGTTAATATAAATAAATGACTAAATTGTAGTTTTTCGAAAATATGGTTTTATAAAAATTCATCATTTATTCATCAACTGATTATTACTTGTTGTTTTAAATGGTTGAACACATTATTCTGTAATTTAAACTCATTTCCAATCTATTTTTTGTTAAACAACTAATAATCAAGTATTGAAATTGAACGTAAAATTTTAATTTAAATGTAATGATAATAATTTATGTCATAAATCTGAATATCATATTAAAATATAAGTTAGATTTGAATTTTGTTACAAATTATATTGGAATTTACAAGTAATACAACATTTCTGTTACTTTTCATTCATGTCTTTCATTGTGACAAACACTGACTTTTGTATTATATTTATTCCTATTGTCTAATATCATTAAAAATTTATAATTTCTAAAATATCAAATTTTTAATTCAATAACAAAGCATTTCAAAAATTATTTATTAATACATAAACTCTTAAATAAAATGTATTAAAATATGAACGGTAAACCAAATAAAAACATACAATGTATACAAACAAATAAATAATTAGCTAAAATAAAAATAATTATAACAAGTTTATAAATAGTTGGACAAAAAAACTAGTGATAAATGAAATGTTAGAGATGAGCGACTTGTGGATTCAGATTATCACGAGTATTGGGAACTCGTTTGTTTGGTGTTGTATTCGTCGAGTACTCGGAATTTAGTTGTCTTTTTGTTATACATATGAGAGATAAGTATTTCTTTGAATATCGACGAAATCTAAACATACAAATAATATATTTACTATTAATAACAACAAATATCATAAACATGGGATAAACATTAGGCTACCTTTTATTCATAACCAACAGAATAATTGGATCAAACCTACAATAAAGAAATTCACGGAATTAAATACACGTCAATTGAATGAAATGTTTACATAGAGTTAGACATTGCGAGCCAATAGATGCCTAAATAGATGTGTTGAATGAATTGCGATAAAATGAGTTGTGGCCAGTGATAGGTCAACAGGAAATACGCGTGATATGGCAGCCAACCTAACCGTACAATAACTTTATAGTTTTGGGATTCTTGAATACATAGTACTTACAGATACCAAACACGGACACCACTAGATATAAATGATAAAAATAAATACTTTATTATAAAATGAATAACAATTGAGATGACTATAAGTGATGTGAGGACTGACCGCATATAAGCATCCGAACGACTTGTTGTTTGGATTGAGTGATGGAGTGCTGTTGGGATGAGTTGGCGTCGCCCTCCCCTATGCCCTGTGAGCCCCATAACACCCTAGCCATGAGTGAGTATGCGATGACCATGGTGGTCACCGGCACTATGTATGTCAGCAATAGGAACACGATGTTATAACTATAAATAACAATCAATTCAATCACTTAAATTGTGCTCTCATTTTAAATATGTTTAAGTAATTGACTTATTATTGATATAATGTAGAGGACAGGCTGTTTGATAAGACATACACTTTATATTTCTTTCTTAACTCAAATATTTGAGATCATGTTATAATATACAATATGCTATTATACTGTATTAGTTAATAACCTGATCTAATTGTTCATTATAAATAATGTTTATACAAGTATTATATTTACTTATATTTACTATAATACGTATAATATTATTATATTTTATTGTACTAACAATGATATAATAAAGTAAAATATTGACAATAATTTCAATATTTTATTTTCTATCATAAATTTTTATAAAATTTTATTTTATGGTGAATGCTGTTTTGACATATTTTATTGATTCAATAAAAACATCTTATTTATGAAACTTTTAGACTAATTACTGTAACAATATTGATTCATTTTTATTACTATGAAAATTGTAATAAAAATCTAAATGTAAATACATTTATACACAAAAGAAATTGTTTTTAAATATGTATTGATTTAAATACTGAGTACAGTATGACAATGAATAGAAAATAAATTTAATTAATTGAACACAAAAGCTTTTATTATTTTTTGAATCATTTTTTGAAAGCATGTAAAATGTTTTATTTGTACTTTTGTTATACGAAAATCTAATCTAAAACTTGAATAAAGCTTGCTGAAATTGTAATAACAATTAAATTTAGTTATCTATAGAATTGACGGTTTCATACAATAAAGTCATAGAAACCTCAACATATGGTCACTTGGATTTCACTTGAAATAGATATCTATTTTTAGAGACATTTCTTTTATTTGAGTGAATGAAAGAAAACAAATAAGTTATAAATTAAATTAATTTCCTCTACTTTCACTCAATTCAATAATGGAATAAAACACACGATTTGAATGCAAGGAAAAATATTTACATGAAATCCAGTCTCGACTGTCCAGACAGACCGTCGGGCCATTCGAGTAGACATATGGTTCGTGTCCTGTGGTTGTCATAAGTGATGGTAAGGGTCTGTGCGAACACCAGACACGGCATCGCAAACATTATGCCACAAATCCATACGATTATGATTTGTGTAATTGCTTTGTAAATAGATATTCAGACAACAATTGTGTCAAATAAGTTTTATTTGAGGTTAAACAGTGTTACCATAACTTACCTT